ATTCATGTTCTTTTTTAAGTGTTTATGTATATATTTGAAGTTAGGAACTCAGGAACTCAGTAATTCATGTGCTCATTTACGTGTGTATGTATATATTTGAAGTTAGGAACTCAGGAACTCAGTAATTCATGTGCTCATATACGTGTGTATGTATATATTTGAAGTTAGGAACTCAGGAACTCAGTAATTCATGTGCTCATATACGTGTGTATGTATATATTTGAAGTTAGGAACTCAGGAACTCAGGAACTCAGAAATTAATGTGCTCATGTACGTGTGTATGTATATATTTGAAGTTAGGAACTTAGGAACTCAGGAACTCAGAAATTAATGTGCTCATGTACGTGTGTATGTATATATTTGAAGTTAGGAACTCAGGAACTCATATGCTCGTATGGATATGTGTCTGTTTATATATGAAGTTAGGAAGTCCGGAACTCAGAAATTAGTGTAGTCATATGTTCAGTATATGCCAGATCTTCGGTTAAGTTAGAATCGCTCCTGTGTGTGGAGCGGCACTTTTGGAGATAGTATTTTTAAATTCATTCGACAACGGTTGCATTTTATTTATAAAAGTTCAGCTAAGAGTAAAAAGAAAACTTAAAAAGAACAACGTTCAGAATATTTATAAAAAGTAATGGTTATGACGATCTTGAAATTGCGTTTAGTTAGTTTTCTCAGGTGATGGTGCAGATGGGTCTGAAAATTTGATAAGTATTATTTCTGTTTTATTTATGGTCCTTTAGAAATTAACGCCAGGCTTGAGCTGAATCGATTGTATATCTCTTGTGATAACTGACCTAATGTTGTCGTCGAACTAAAGAAAAACAATTTATTTTTATTAAGTCTGTAGAAAGGTTGATACTTTTATACGTACTTCATTGTAGAGCACGGTTTTTTAATTGAGTACTTGCTGTCTCTGAAATAAAAGCAACACTGTTAAGAGCTCGACCAATAATGTCCTTACTTGACGCTATAGATTTTCCGTCCATATCGCTCACTCCGGAGAATGTTGTAGAAACAGCTGAAGTTGTGCCTGTTTTCGTCGACCATTCACCTGTAAGTGGAGTTGAAAAGAAAGCATGCCTAAATGCTTGATTTATCTTTGTTACTACATCTGGTGGTATGACTTGTAATCCGATTAATTGTTGATCTGATTGTATTTTTGTTATACTACAGTTTTTCAAATGAAATAATATTAAGAAAAATGTAAATGATTTTGGATAACTGTATGCTCGAAAAGCATGCTTAAAATTTGTGAAATAAGAAAACATCCGCTCTGCTACTTGTGAATCGACTTGATTGTAAATTCCTTTGTGTGAATCATGATCAACACACATTTCTTTCTGGCACATCTGGCGCAAATGATTTGGCTGATGGAAACGATCAATAGCTAAATGCATTGTGTGCAAAAACTTGGTTCGGCTTGATTTCTTTAAATGGTTTGTCTTGTACCACTTGTCGATAAATAATTTGAGCATGCAGGCGCAGTCGTATAACATTGCTGGTGGTAAATCGCCATATTCTAATATTCTCAATAAATGCCGTACAACCCTCCGCATGCCTTCGCTCCGTGGACATTCATCAAACCCAACAATCACTGAGCAGTTTAAAAAAGTAGCTAGAAAACCATAACTTGAAAGTTTTCTTTCATCAATAATATCGTCGCGGTACACATTACACGTTTCTTCTTTTGCTGCGACTTGATATTCCTCTTCTTGCGCTTCTTTCGCCAATTTTAAATTTTCCTCGGTAAACTGATCGACTTTCTTGTTTATGAGTTGAACACTTGTGGTTCTCGTTTGCGGTTGATGATATTCGCATAATGTTCTATCACCTATTAAAACATAGACGAAGGATAATAAACGGAAAATGAATAAAATGTTGGAATAGGAGGAATTGTGGCGAAATAAAATACTATTCTCTTTCTTGCCTGTAAAACGATTTGGAGTTTCAGGACATCCAATGACGACAGCACCCATTTCTGGAATGGACATATCGCAAACATCTTTTTGTTTACAAACAAAACGATTGGCTTTACGATGACCATCTGTGATAAATACCCGGGTACAATTTTCACAACATGATTTTGATTTTGATAATAATTTATGGCGAGTCCAAAAAGCAACAAATAATGCATAGAAAAAATCATTGTTTTTCTTGAAATATTCGTCCTTCACATGCTTTGCACGTAAGGAACTTGGAATTTCGAAGTTATCACGATCTGTTAACATAAAAACAAACCGCATCAAATTGTAAATTAGCCAATTAATTTGTAGTGACTTCTCATCCATTTGTTTGCATCTTGAATTTGTTTTCAACTGTATTGCTTGCGAATTCACTTGGGAACTAAAAGAACAATGTGTTCTACATATGTAGCATAAAAAAGACTTATAGGTAAAAGAGGTAATAAACCAACATGAGTTTTAGTCGGCACGTATTCCGCTTCCCTAGAATAACGTACGAAAGAAAATGATTCTGAGTTTAATATTACGTAAAGTCTAATGTAGAAATAATTGACTACAGAAGAATACTGTGGTCTATAGAACCTCATTAAATATATTTAGTGGTATTAGATAAAGATAGTGCGACGAAGTATTAATTACATTTTTCTTTGGAAGGTTATCCTGATATAGAATTTGATGAGAAAGAAAGTGAAATAACAAACTATAAAAAGGTAAACGACAAACTTTGAAGTAAAATCATTATTTGATCTCTGCTGTCGCTGCTGAGTTAAACGTTCGCTTTTCCTTTTAATTAATTTTTCGATTTTTTCATTAAATGCGTTTGTAAAACCATTGAACGTTATGTGTGAATATAATAATTGTGTTTCAAAATCGATGAATATCTCATTATCATAGGCTGTTTCGCCCGAAAAGATGATAATATCATCATTCTTGATTGAATTAGACGTGACAAAATGATTTTTTCGGTATTCATAATGCATTGGATAAATCTTAACAGCACAATCAATACATTCTGCAAAATAGATTGAACACATCTCAGTCTTATCATGTCTAATCAATGTCTTGGGCATTTTGGGTGCTTGAATTAGTAGTTGTTTCCGACATTTCAAACAAATGCTTGTGAAAGGTAATACATGATTGTTCGTCACATGATGCGTAATAAAGCGGGTATTCGACTGATAATTATTGATAATTGTTTCGATACTAGTATTTACTGGAAAATAGTTCTTAAAAGTTTGATCACTGATGATGAAATCGATAACAGAATTGATTGTGTCCTGCTCATACAGTTGTTTATAATGCATGTTGATCATGTTTCGAATATGAACTTGTTTGTCTTGTAATTCTCGCGGCAGAAAATAGTACAGCTCCATGGTAGTAATTATTTCATTGAATTTCATGTCTTCGATCAATGTGAGCAACGTTTTGTGCTCATCTGTCACTGTAACGTGGTAGACTTTATCGTCGATCTCCATATCTAATTGTCTGATCACCTGTTATCTGGAATACACAAGAATACTTGAATAATCGAGCTTAATCCGTTATTTTAGATTACCTATTATTGAGTGAAGAAAAACAATCAGTCTTTCAGCTGAAAAGAGATTCAGGATATTAGAACAACCGAAGTCAGTAGAAGAAGACCATCTCGCAGTTGATTGAAATACACAAATACTATGAAATCTTTTATTTCGTATAAAGTTTATTCATTTAAAATAAGTAGATGTAGAACTTCCAAATCCAACGACGATTATTCTAAAGTTGCATTTTCAACACGCAAAACGAAAGAAAGACAACTATAGACACAGTTTGTTTAGGAAAAAGCTTGAAATCTATTCTCACTAATAATATAACAAAAAATGTATGAAAACACATATGAAATGCTAAAAATACAGCTATTTTAATCTTTTCTCTCACAATTAATTTGTAGTTTCGAAACGAAGAAAGAAAAGAGAAAGTTAGAAAAAATTGCAAAAAGAAGTAACAATATTATCCGACTGTTTTCTATCTATCGACTGACCTACTGTTTATGCCTAGTAATGCAGTTATCACTTGGAAACCTGAAGTAAAGTTGAGAGAACAAAAATATTTACAATTATGAGTAAATGAATTGCATTTGAAATTAATAAATGGACAAACAAAACAAGGAATATGTACAGTAATATAAAGTGAAATTCGTATGCGTGATAAAAAATAAGTAGATGTAGAAAACATGAAGACGAAAGCAAAGGTTCTAGTAGTTCTTCAGTTTTTCTTCGACTTTTTGGCTACACTTACATGAATGCGTGAAGCATTTGTTTCTCTTGAATTCGATACTGATTCTCCTTGTTTTCTTCTTTGTGTTCTTTTGCTTCGCTTATTATGTAGTTCATCAAACTCATCGAGAGCTACAGATAAGAAAGAACGAGATCAAATATTACATTAAAGTGGAAAATGCATCATCTTATTCTTACGTCCTGCTGGTAAAACTGACGTTGGTGTTTGAAGTGGACCGTACGTCCAACGTCTTTTGTCATAACTAATATACTGAGAATAATAATAATCAGTATCCAATAAATCTTCCAATTCTTTTGATATTTTCCATGATGTATTTCCAAACCAAACATTATTTCCTGGATATTTTGCGAATACAGCAACGTATCCATCCCAATCAAGACCAGTCTAAAAAACGAAAAACATTTCGCGTTAAAGAAAATAGTAATAAAAATACTGCTTACACATCTTGTTAGTGCTTTAATGAAATGCAATTTATCGCTTGATGTTCCTGTTGCTGGAAATGCCCTAATGCAAATAATGCACGATGTCAATTTGAGATAGAAATATAAATCATTGTTAAAAAACTCACTGAAGATACCCTTGGTGTGAAAACACTTTTGGTGTTTTTGCTCCTGTATTCCTTGTCACAAAATATGCACCTGTTTGAAGTAAACTATTGAAAAGTAATAAATTTTTTGCGTCTTCTCGTGCAGCATGGTTTGACGTAATACGACTAACATCTGCTTGCGCAAATACAACTGATTGTGACGACATAATCTTTGCTGCCACTTTCTTCAACTTTGGATCAACAGTTTGAACACTCAGAGTGTGTGGTGACAGTTGGTTTTCTTCTAAAGAAAAGAAATGCTGTTCTTTGTTTAAAAATGATGTTAATCAATGAATGTGGCTTACTCTTCATATGTTCGTACACATATCGTGGCGCTGGATCTAGATCAATTGGTTGATTCGTTTCGTTATCTGAACTTGCCATATCAGTACTGCCTGATTCTAAAAGGAAGGATAAACATATTCGATCTAAAAGAGTGATATACGATTGTAAGAGACGTTGAAGGCGATCTGCGACTATAACTGACATGACGAAATCTGGTTACGGTTATTTTTAGCTGACACGTTTCTCATTAACCGCGTTAAATCACCGGCCTCCATTTTTACCTCTAGGTTTATCAGCGACTTCAGCATTTATAAAACCTAAACAATAAAAGAGTAGGCCGTTGGCTGTATAAAACTAGTAGAAAAAAGTATCTGACTGGAAAGGTCGACACAGGAACTTACTTATCTCATTTATTTCGTTTTGTTCTTTACTTGATCGACAAGTGTTTTGAGATTCTTCTTGTAAATTGCCTAAATAATAAGAGTGTTTTTTGATCAATCGTAGTTTAACATTTTACATACCTGAATATAAGGGTGGTTCATTGAAGCAATCGTTTTGAGATTGATCCGACGAAATTACTTGTAGTACGTTCCGCATCTCCGATGAATCTTTGAAAGTACTAGGCAATGTGATGGGTGATGGAGGAAGAAGTGGCGATTTGGTTTGTAGTAGTGATGTAATATCATCGTTTGGCGGTGATATATCAAGTTGAATTTCTGTTACTGACGTTTGTTTCAAGATTGATGATGTCGTTTTTGTTTTCAATGTTATTTGTTTTGATTGCGGAGATCTCGTTTCTGATTCAAATACTGTTGCTGTTGGAGAAACGTCATAGAACGTTTCACTGTCACAGGCAACCTTGACAATGTGTCCTAACTCAACATATGTTTCGATAACACCTTCTAATTCATGATATTTATGATATTCATTAACGAATCTTGCTTGTGTCTTAAAATATTCAATAGCTTCTAACGACAATGTATGATTCTGTGGACTTGAATATCGTTTATACATTTGTTCATATTGACGTAGAGATACCTGATATCTTGCTAGTTTTGTTTCAAAATCGTCACGTAGTTTTGGATCCAATGGAACTGGTAGCTTCATAAATGACTGACGTCTGCGGCAACGTGCATCCAGTAAAAAATAACCTTTGGCAATTATTCCATCAGCAATCAGTTTACTAATAGTTGCGTCGACCAAGTGTGGTGCATTATGAAATGGTGATCTATAAAGTAAAAAGAAAACAAGATAAGTAGAAAATTAGATCTCCCTTATCGACTAACGGTTCATTTGTGTCTGGTATTTTTCCAGTTAGAGCACCAGGCATAAACTGATTAAATTGAAATTCAAGAATTTTTCGCTCATTTGTCGATGTTGGTAAGTTAGGACCGGAAAGGATGGATGATGACGGTGATGGTGGCATTTTGAATAATGTTAATGCATTATGAAATAAAAATTCATAATATTGCCATGCTGCCACACACGACTCTTTTTCAATCAACAGAACGGGAACAGTGGGATCTGTTTTACTTTGTTTTGCTGATGATAAGAATAGATCATGGATCTTTATTTTTGCATTCTTGGTAAAATTAGCGTTGATACGTCCATATTTTTCAAAACCTTCATCAAAATCAATATCGTCTGACAAGTGCTGTAATACTGTCACACAATGGCGAAATAACTGAAACAGAGCACAATATCTTGGATAGATCGTTGTTGTTTTTGCATAAATATTGCGAATTTGAAGTGGTTGACGTTTATTGTCCAACATCCACTGCAGATGATCTGAAGTAAGATTGAAAGCTAAGTTCCATGCACTTGATTCTACTTGTGTTCCAGATGAGGCTGTCGTGGCTTGTGTTTCATCGAATGCAGACGTAGTTGAATTTTGTAAAAATGGTGCTGAATCTAAGGGTGAACAATAAATGATACGAAAAAGTTTAAAAGGAAGCGTTGGACTTTATAATTTAAGGTACCAACTTTGAACAATTTGTAGATTATTGTTCCGGATTCAACAGAAAAAGTATACATCGATAAACATTTTTTACAACAGATCTAGTGTATTATTATTCATGCTTTCTATCTGAATTCATTCAGCTTTCTTGCTGAAGAAAATTTCTCGTACCATAAGCTTCAAGCTTTAGTTCGTCATCTGTTTTCCTCCAGTCATATTCAATTGTGCCAAATAAATGTGCAACAACTAGTACGTGAGCCAACGTGGGCATTTGTTTTTCTTTGTGGAATGCTTGAATGCTTAAAGCAGAAAAATATTCTAACATTGAGACTAAATTCTAACAAGATACTCACTTTTGCGGTCTTATCGCTTGGATACCGTCTAAAGCAAGATACGACATTCGATTGTGTATTCCTTCGAACCCTGCAAATCTTGACCAGTTAAACAAAAGTTTTTGATATTTTCCACCAGTTGTTGCCGCTAGAATCGATAAGCGTGCTTTGGTAATACGTGTGGTTGTTGATCCGGTGGAACGATTATCATTCTCTAATCTAGATGACATTAAAAAATGACAAACACATTATAGTGGCCAAAGAAAGACAACTCACCCATCGAATGCTTGTAATAAAAGGCACGTTTCATTATTATATTTCGAATTTCCAACATCGAACACACCGTACGGATCAAAGAAAACATCGGCTTCATCATTCATATAACAGCAACTGCCTAATGCTAAAAGTTTTCTCAGCCCGAGGTGATTAACATTTTTTACGACTGACGAAGATGATGCTGAGATTTCGCCATAATCCATCTTTCTGATATAAAACGACTGGAATACTTGCTCAACCTTGTCTTTCGCTAGCTCCATTTGACCAATAAGTTGCGTTTTACCGGAACCTATAGGAAACGTCATACAATAAGCGGCTGAATAAACTATTTCAACTTTTTCTTAACTATACGGGATCGAAACATACAGTACAAAACAAAATGGTTTCAGGACTGAGAAAATTCACTTACCTGAATCGCCAACGAGAACAACGTACAAATTGATCGGTTTTTTATCTTCAGTTCGATACGCCAAGTAATAACTATCTCGCGAAAAATGACTTAGCAACGCCATGAAACAAAAGAATAATGGCGTTTCTTCGAATCCACGTAAACCTTGTAACTGAGCAAAAATTCGATGTTGGTCAGCTTCCAGCACAGTAGATAAATCCAATTTCCTTTGAGCTGCTTCCTGAATATTCTGCGTCATTTGTTCACCGAAGCTGCTAATACTTGTCATCTTGTAACAAAGTGGCAGCAATCCAGCAGATCCAAAACAGAAAAAGAATTTCACATCTAAATCAACTCGAATGAAGCATAATAAAATCGATCGACTACAGAAACAGAGGACACCCGGTCCTCTCAATGCCCTTTCATCATGTGAACTGAAACATCTCTACAACATTTTCACTATTTTTTTCACTTTCTTTTTCTTATTTTATTTATATGCGCGTCGATCTATGAAGTGGTGTGTAGACGCCAAGAAAGAGAATGTACGAATAAAGGCATTGTAACAAAAGATATGTTTCGTTATCATATTTTCAATTTTCGACATCGAACATACATATAAAATAAACGTCAGCTCCATCATTCATATAACGGGGAGTGCCTAGAACTAAAACATTTTTCAGTCCAGTATGAGTGACATCAGTATTTAATGTCTATATCAGCAAAAGTATAGAAAGTGAAAAAGAAATACTAAAGCCATTGTAAAAAGTAATAGTTGTTATATGCTGGTTGTCGGCAGGTACACCAATTGTAAGTCTACAATTTTCATTTGTTTAATAAAAGTATTAAAGATGCGGTGTATTTTCATTTTTTAAGATTTTAATGTAATATATCCTGGTATACACATATGATCTATCTATGGGAATACACGTCTTGTCTAAATTCTCCCTTGGGGCTCTGTGTGTACTCAATTTAGTTTATGCCGTAATGAAAGTGGTTTCGTCTGTAGTTACGAAAAGATGCTTGAGTGGTCTGATCAAATGAAGAATGTATTTCAAAAAGAGAAAAAAAAATAACAAGAAAATAACAGAATACTGACGATAAGAAGAAAAAAAAATTATGATAAACCTGTCACTTTAGTTATCTTGATGTTCTTGATGTTCCTGAGGTTCTTGATATCTTGGTGGTGCTCGTGGTTGTCGCCGTAACACATAATTTTGGTAATAACGGCGACTATAGTTCACGTTTATAACATTGTACGAGAACTCTTCCACACATTTACCTTAAATACATAAATCAAAATTAGTTATCGAGGACTAAGCGATAAGAATGATTTACCATTTAGCGAATGTATCGCCAATGTAGCGTCTTGTGTACTTGTGTATAGTACAGTTGCACAAGCACATTGACGAACAAGATTTGGGTAGATGTAAATCTCCTGCTGTCTTGTTGTTGGATTTTCCTAGGAAAAAAATGGTGTTTTTGTGAGAGTTAAACTATGAACGACTTACTTACTCTGACCAAACCGTATCTTGAGAATACTTGAAAAACTTGTTCTCTTGTGATACTACGGGGGAGACCCATAATGTATATTTGAGGAACAGGTACCTCAACACCTTGATTCATCACTAAAATGAAAAGCGAATTTAGCAGTTGAAAGATTTGTTCTTTTCAACTCACTATCCTCCATTGGTTCAAGCGTTTCCTGTTTTACTTGTTTTGCAACCACGCCTGACACACTTGTAATTTGATGATCTAAAAGCAAGATAGGGGAAAAGGTTAAAATGAAGTGATAATAAATGACGGATAGCAAAGACAACAAGACGGTTAAATGCTTTATTTAAGCGAACGGGCACTTATGTTTAACTTAAGTTTAAGTTGTTATCCAAACCTATTCGATCTTGATTACTTGAAATCTTTTGACGGAATGGATTTGATACTGTACGTGGATAAACTTTTTCCAGCACTTTAAAAGAAAAAACAGAAAAAGTGAGATTTAGACTTGCCTATGCTTTGGTTACCTTGCTCTCGTTGTTCTTGAGCATCCTGTACACTTGAAGAACCTGATATCACTTGTACGTTTTGTTCAACTTGACGCGCTAGAATGAAAATAGATGATCCTCCTAACATAACGTTTAATTTAAAAAGAAACACGATCGAAGCATAGTTTTAGTCTTCACGTACCGTTTTCTTTTGGTACTGTCGAGGCATTGGGGCTGTTGACAACCAAAGCGGCTAACGAACGTTTTACCGCACGAAACACTTCCGCATCCATACTACTTTTAGACATTTTAAGAATACACGAATTTTTAGAACGATAATCTACAAAAAACAAATTAAATCCATAAAATAAGCAACAGTATGCAGGCAACATATGAACAGAATTTTCGAATATTAGAAGTCTAGAATATTACAATTTTAGAATTTTACAATCTTATAATTTCAAAATATCAGAATAGTAGAACAGTAGATTTTTACAATATTAGAATTCTAGAATATTGCAATAGTAGATTTTTCGAATATCAGCATGTAATAATACTAGAATTTTCGAACATCAGAATGTTATAATACTAGAATTTTATAATATTAGAATTCTAGAATATTGCAATAGTAGATTTTTCGAATATCAGAATGTAATAATACTAGAATTTTCGAACATCAGAATGTTATAATACTAGAATTTTATAATATTAGAATTCTGCAATATTAGAATATTAGAATTTTGCAATATAACAATAATCGAATAGTANTCAGCATGTAATAATACTAGAATTTTCGAACATCAGAATGTTATAATACTAGAATTTTATAATATTAGAATTCTAGAATATTGCAATAGTAGATTTTTCGAATATCAGAATGTAATAATACTAGAATTTTCGAACATCAGAATGTTATAATACTAGAATTTTATAATATTAGAATTCTGCAATATTAGAATATTAGAATTTTGCAATATAACAATAATCGAATAGTAGAATTTCGAATATTCCAATTCCAGAATATCACAATTTTAGGAGTTTACATCCATCGGAATATTACAATTCTAGACTATTTCAAATCTACAATTTTACAATATCAGTTTATTTAATAACCAATTGAAAATTAAAGCACTAACGGGGGAACGTTCTTTAGTGCCCCTTCGCTTCTTCAACGAAACCATAGGTTATCGTTGATGCTGATTCCCAATATGAATATGAGAACTGCTCTTAGGGCTTCCAAGATCTGGCTTTCTGGAAACCCAGCTTTTCAGAAACTCTGAAAAACACCCAAATTTTTCTAATAAGCCACTCTTGTAGCCCGAACATTTCTGATTAAAATAAAACCCCTTCCTACTACACATGACCTTCATTTGTAAAGTTAGAGAATTTATAAGGAAAGCCCTAAATATTCATTCTCAACTCAAAGCTTTAGAAATAAGAAGACATTAACGCAGCGCTTTTCTTGTAAATCCTGTAACTTTGCAAAGAAAGCCGAAGCGGAGTCGAGAGAGGTGTCATTTTCATCAGAAATGCGCGGGCTACAAGCATGGCTCATTACGACAAGTTATGGCTCATTTTCAGAGTCCCTCAAAAGTTGCTTCACCAGAAAAACGGATCTTCGAAGCCCTAAGAGCAGCTCCTCATCAAACTGATTGAAAATTTAGACTATCTCAGTTTTACAATTTCACAATATCAGAACATGAGAATACCAGAATTTGCGAATATTAGAATTGTAGAATATCACAATTTAATAATCTTATAATCCAACAATATCACAGTATTCGAATATAAAATCGTAAGCCAAAGGCAGAAAAGACGACAGAACAATCGTTTTCTTTCTTTTATACGAGATGCCAGGTGATTCTTTTATAGAACAGTGAACGCTAGTATATTGTATAAAGAGAAGACACAAACGAGAAGAATAAAATGAAAACATCTCCTCTCTCTTCTTCTCGCATGTAGTTCACGAACCACAAATATAAACGGATTAATGTTTATACGAAAAATATTTAGACTATCTCAGTTTTACCTTTTTACAATATCAGAATACTAGAATTTTCGAATATTACAATTTTAATTCCTTATAAGGGGAGAATATCACAATACTAGAATACTCTAATTTTAATATTTCGAAATGTTAAAGTTTTCACACAAAACATCCCGTAAGACATAGATGAAGTGAAACTGCACAATATTAGATTTTAAGAACTCCGCCTTTCACAATTCTATAAACCAAAGGGAGAAAAGAAGAGAGAACAATCGTTTTCTTTCTTTTATACGAGATGCCAGGTGCTTCTTTTATAGAATAGTGAACGCTAGTATATTGTATAAAGAGAAGACACAAACGAGAAGAATAAAATGAAAACATCTCCTCTCTCTGCTTCTCGCATGTAGTTCACGAACAACAAATATAAACGGATTAACGTTTATACGAAAAAAATTTAGACTATCTCAGTTTTACCTCTTTACAATATCAGAATACTAGAATTTTCGAATATTACAATTTTAATTCCTTATAAGGGGAGAATATCACAATACTAGAATACTCTAATTTTAATATTTCGAAATGTTAAAGTTTTCACACAAAACATCCCGTAAGACATAGATGAAGTGAAACTGCACAATATTAGATTATAAGAACGGCACCTTTCACAATTCTATAAACCAAGGGGAGAGAAGATGAGAGAACAATCGTTTTCTTTCTTTTATACGAGATGCCAGGTGATTCTTTTATAGAACAGTGAACGCTAGTATATTGTATAAAGAGATGACACAAACGAGAAGAATAAAATGAAAACATCTCCTCTCTCTTCTTCTCGCATGTAGTTCACGAACCACAAATATAAACGGATTAATGTTTATACGAAAAATATTTAGACTATCTCAGTTTTACCTTTTTACAATATCAGAANAGAACAATCGTTTTCTTTCTTTTATACGAGATGCCAGGTGATTCTTTTATAGAACAGTGAACGCTAGTATATTGTATAAAGAGATGACACAAACGAGAAGAATAAAATGAAAACATCTCCTCTCTCTTCTTCTCGCATGTAGTTCACGAACCACAAATATAAACGGATTAATGTTTATACGAAAAATATTTAGACTATCTCAGTTTTACCTTTTTACAATATCAGAATACTAGAATTTTCGAATATTACAATTTTAATTCCTTATAAGGGGAGAATATCACAATACTAGAATACTCTAATTTTAATATTTCGAAATGTTAAAGTTTTCACACAAAACATCCCGTAAGACATAGATGAAGTGAAACTGCACAATATTAGATTATAAGAACGGCACCTTTCACAATTCTATAAACCAAGGGGAGAGAAGAATAGAGAACAATCGTTTTCTTTCTTTTATACGAGATGCCAGGTGATTCTTTTATAGAACAGTGAACGCTAGTATATTGTATAAAGAGATGACACAAACGAGAAGAATGAAATGAAAACATCTCCTCTCTCTTCTTCTCGCATGTAGTTCACGAACCACAAATATAAACGGATTAATGTTTATATGAAAGAAATTTAGACAATCTCAGTTTTACCTTTTTACAATATCAGAATACTAGAATTTTGAATATTACAGTTTTAATATCTTATAACAGGAGAATATCACAATACTAGAATACTATAATTTTAATATTTCGAAATATTAGAGTTTTCACATAAAACATCCCGTAAGAAATAGATGAAATGAAACTGCACTATATTACATTTTAAGAACGGCACCTTTCACAATTCTATAATTCCGCATTTGCAGAATTTTAGAGTTATAGAAGTGTAAAATTCGAAAATATTAGAGTTTCAGATTCTAGGAATCGTGGAAAGATGGAATTGCAGAAATTCTAATGTTCTAGGTCTAACATCCTCTAATTTTCATATTTCTCAGTTTAATACCCGGCGATTCTAACATCAAAAACACAAGAAATTATCTAACATTTGAAGTAAGCACTTGCTTAGGTGCGACTAAGTTAAATCACTGAAAACAGCGTTTTCTTACGAACACGGACAAAACACACTTCACGACAGCGAATTGCACTAATTCAAGAAGTTCAAAACAGACGCCTTGTCTTAACTTTAAATAAACATTTCATGTTATACCTTGTTTTTTTGACACTCTGAACTAACAAAGAGTTTGAAATGACTTGAGCTAATTCAATTATTGAACCGGGAAAAGCAAGCGAATGCTTAACGAAGACTGAGTGAAAGTTAAAGCAGTAAGAGAAAGGTGTACTTAGGAACACTGATAAGACATACTTGAAGTGACACACTGCACCTGATTTGGAGAGTGTTTACCTTTTCATAGTCTGTGATGTTGGGGGTAGCGCTGTTCTTTGAATTCCGGAATAACTAAGAGTCTGGCATACTTGAAATGTGTTGGCAGGTTGTTGTTCGATTGAAATGCAGAGATTATGAAATTCTTATTCAAAATTTCACACTTTCAGAATCTTATAGGGCGAGAGTCTTCACAGTGCAGAATGAGACTCTTCTCTGAGTTGAGAAATGTTCAGAATTGGCAAGTTTTAGAATGTGAGAAGTTTCGAACAACACCATTTCATAAATGGAAAGGATTTCGAATTTCGGAATCGCAGAGTTTCAGGATCCAGCAATCTCACACGTTTATAAAATGTCCAGTCAAAAATACTTCCCAACTTGTTGTTAGTTCGTGGTGCTTCATACATTAACTCACACTCATCTTGGGCGGCGGGGGGGGGGGGGGGGGGGGGGGGGGGGGGGGGGGGGGGGGGGGGGGGGGGGGGGGGGGGGGGGGGGGGGGGGGGGGGGGGGGGG